CTCACCAACTTTAATTAATTTATCTAGATTGGCAGGATAAATGTCAGTGGACAAATAAATGAACACACATACACATGTACATGTTTATATATACAGCTGTGTTCAGGTTTGGATACGCATATGTATATGTATGGGCGGATGCACTTATAAATACACGCGGACGTGCGTTTGATTGCGTTGAACTGTAAATATTTAATTTTACAAAAATAGCATAACATACATATTTATGTATATATGGCTAAAAAAAACGCTGTGCACTGATATTCATATGAATATGTACACATTTACATACATACATACATACGTGTAGGTACATTATACAAGTAATTTTCTTAGCACTTTTCCAGCATTTAGAGTGAACACAGAAGTGACTACGAAATATCAAAAATCTCGAGCAGCTGGCAGACATTCAACAATGCCAATAACAATCATACATACATATCTCATTTTATTTGCTTAAAATACACCACAAACAACATGCGTCAACAGCAGATAAATTGCTCGCTCCAAAATATTCATTGGAAATTTTTTTAAGAAAATCAAACACAAAGAGATTGAAAAATTTTGATCGACTTTCCATTTTTGTTTTTACAGCTATTTTCGATATTATATATATTTTTTCGGGTTATTTATATGTACTTAGAGTTGTTTTTAAGGAAAACTTTGGTATTGAAAATTCATATCCCAGCAGCTGGATGTCTTCCGATGCGGTTTGTGAGGGCGAAAAAAGCCTAAAAGATGTCTTACCCTGCAGGGGAAAGCCAACTAGTATTCAAAAATTCTATTTAAATACTAGTATGTTGAGGATGAAATCATACCAGTTCGTTATTTGTACAGAACTTCACCCGTAAGGGGAGAAATAACAATTGCCACCACTGTTTGTTGTTGTTATATCGGCAGACCGCGGCTGAATTCCACTCCCCCGTTGCATCGTCATGATAGGCAAGTGGTTAGAGGTTATCTTTGTAGCGCATTAAGTCCCCGGTTCGAGTCCCGCCAGAGGCAAATTAATTTTAAGTTGTAAATTTTTTAATATTTAATGAAATAGAATTTTTTAATTTTTTGTGAAACAGAAATTTTTAATTTTAATTTTTTTTTTAATTTTTGGTGCTAAAGAAATTTTAGCCTCCACGTCATTGGTTTGTTGTTTTTGTTTTTTATGACACGGCTGAGTTTTTTTTTCATTTCTTCATATATCATAACGATAGTCTGGTGGTTGGAGGTATTCACTGTGGTGCGTGAAGCTCTTGGGTCCCCTGCGGGTTAGGGTTTCATAAATTTACCCGCGGTAAGGCATGCTTGTCGTAAGAGGCGACTAAAATCCAATAGTTCCGGCGACAGTCGGGTCTTTATACTGGAACGACCCGGATTTTTATACGGCCAAGGACTGTCACTGCCGCAATATTCCCCAAAAAGTTCTTTGGCGAATAATTTTGCGGTTACAACAACAACAAAAACAACAGGCGCTCGGTTCGATTCTCGCAGCCGGCGAACTGAAATTTATATTTGATTTCGTTTTTTTTTTTTTTTTTTTTTTTTTTTGGTGAAGTAGAAATTCAACACGCCTAAATGAACTAGTAATAAACTAGTATGTGGCTGATGCATAGTAGGACAAGTGTCAGCTCGTAGGACATCGCCGTGTTAAAAATACCAATTGCTTGCATGAAAAATGGATGAATATGAACTAGTTGGTGTAAAAATGTAAACTAGTTGAATTCTAGTTGCCAACTAATATTTTCGCCTGCAGGGTATCCTCCGTTCTTGCGAAAGTGGTATTTCGATAACTAGATGAAAGGCGTGAAAGGGGCCTTATTAAATTGTATAATAAAGAATAGAAATTTCCATAAAATGTAATGTGGCGTTGGGACAACCAAAAATACGTATAAGAAAATCTAAAAAAGCATAAAACGAAATAGAGTAAAATAAAATAAAATACAAAAAAAAAAAGTTAAAAAAATAATACTAAAAAAAATTCAATAAGACAAAAAACACAAAGACACAAGACCTTTATGACAACAACAAATTTATATTTCATTTTAAGTTTAAATATTAATTCTCATAGCTGCAAAATTGGTTGGAGAGAGCTGTGTGATGAAGTTTTCCGATTTCGGTGATTTTCAGTTTGAATATTTATGTGAATTTACGTGTGTAGAATATTTATGTTTATAAAATTTAATCTTCAACTTCGTGAAAAGCAATCATTTCTCTATACACATTCATACGTCAGACTCAGCAATTAAAATTATCATCAGCAGCAATAAGCAAGTGATGCATACCACTTAGCACCAAAGCCAACAACAAGGCAATGGACAAGTACCCATACACTGTTATATGTACCTATACATGTTATATGTATGTATATAATCAAGGCAATAAAGAGTTATTTCTCATTTCATGTTTTTATTCCTGAGTCGTCATGGAAAGAATTTTCCATTTTAATTCAATTGATTTATGACCTTTAATGTCAATATCATAAAATTCGAAAAATCAGAATAAAACGTTTATATTGAAAGTCTACAACTACACGTAGGTCTGGTAGCAATTGGTTGTAATGCTCTCATGGACATATAATGGTCGTAAAACTAAATATTAAGCATTGAGAATGTGCAATCATTGTAGTGTTCAGGTGTATGAAAGTCATAAAATTACAAAGATTTCCATCATTTTTTCCAACGGAAAATGCAGGAGAAATAAATAAGCTGCAAAAAAAGGACAGAAATTTAATATATTTAAGCCGCCTTCGAGCGGCTGGTGGATTTTTATATGTAAGGAGCTTTTATTTCATGTCAGATATGCACTCGAAGGGGAGGGCTTGACATTCCTTGCCGAGGGACGACCGCAATTAGAAAAACTAATTTTGCATAATTTTGGATGTTGGCCGAAACAGCACTCCGAAGTAGTACGCAATGCTTGCGGCCTTAATGCCTCAAATATTTGATCGTGAGTCAAGTGGGGGAAGGGGCGGAAAGTAAAAAAAAGCACATTATGTGGGACACAAAGCTGGCAATGTTATTGCTGTCGCAGCATCAAATACAGTAATAAATATTAAATAAGCTTATGTATAATAAAGGGTTTTCCAACAAGAGCTGTTACTTTTAATAGCCTGCTATTGCGGTAGATGTCATTTTTTAAAGCTGACATTTGACAAGTAAAAACCACGCCACTAAGAGAAATGGAACGATACACGTTTCAAAAACGCATTGAAATTATTCGAATTTGCTATAAAAGTTCCATTGAAAAATCATCTTAACTGATGAGGCCCATTTCCACCTCGATGACTACGTCAATTAGCATAACTGTCGCCTATGAGGATCGGAAAACCGAAGATTTATATGTTGAAAAGCCTCTCGATGCACAACGTGTAACTGTTTGCTGCGATTTATGGTCCGCCGTGGTCATTGGACCTCACTTTTCCGAAAATGAGGCTAGATCAACAGTTACGATGAATGGATTGATCTATTGAGAGATATTTACTGATTTTTCATGGTCGAAATTGAATGGTATTGAGCTGGGTAAGCAACAAATCCATCGATATTTTAATTGAAAAGTTTCTGGACCCTGTTATTACTCGGTGATCGTAATTGGCCAACCGTGTTCTTGTGTTTTAACACCTTGCGTGTTTTTTTTCGGGCCACGTGGAAGAACTTTATTTTTTCAGCTGGTAAGGTCTATGCCAACAGACAAACGTCGATTCAAAACCTTAAAGAAGGAATTCCTGAAGCTATTAAGCGCCTACAGCAACCACTCGGCAAGGTATCAGGTTCAACTTATATATTTATAATTTGTTTTTGCGGCCATATATTAATTTTCATTTTGAAGCAGATCTGATCTTAAAAATATACATAGAACTTATTAAAAATCAAATATAAATAAATGTTTATTAATATATTAACATACATATATAGAAGAATATAATTTATAAATAGTATTTCATACACCTCTTATTGGAGAACCCTGTATAAGCAATGTATTTACGCTATGTTCGCCATCTGTTTAATGTCAGCAAAATGTTTGCATTGACATGACAGCGGGCAATCAAAAGCGGTAGTGCTACTCAATTTATTAAAGTAGTTATTTTTTCTATTTCCTTTGTACGCTAAGAAATAAATAATAATTTAGATATACGCATGTACATACATTATTTCTTTGCAGTACGAAATACATATATGTATGTATATTTTGGGGTAATGTTTATTATCAGCAAGAAACGTCAATAAATATTAAATATTATTTTTACTTTTCTCGATACTAAAATCGCAGTTAACAACATAACATTTTTTTATTTTGTTCTTGCACCAGTACTCAATCCGAAGTCTCTTCGATGTGACGCACTTCTCAAGAATCGTTCTGCTGCGGCCAGAAGTATTGCGTGAAATCTATGTTTAATTTAATAAAACAATGCGAAATTAGAACCGGCACACTGCTGTGATTAGGAGATCAAGCAAAATATTCGTTTGTCTTCGTTTGAGATTCCGTATGTATAATGTGCATACATACGTATTTTAGCGTAGACTACCTTTTATGTGTAGGCGGTCTTCGTGCGCTTTTCAAAATATTTATCCTGACCATAAACTCCATCGATTTCGCCGACATTATGATTCTACAACATAAATTTATGTAGGTGGGTATATGTACATATACATATATATTTTAATTTAATTTACAAAAAAAAATTACAGTTTCTTGTTAAAAAAATCTTTTTTGGTTCTCTTATAATGCAAAGTGGAAAATAGCAAATAAAAAATAACAGAGGTTTTTAAATTAATAACAGTAGAGGTTTATTAGCAGAAACAGCTGACTGCCCAAATAACCGGGAGTGTCATATACAACGACGTGAGTTTGTATGTGCATGGCATTAAAGTAGACACATTGATAGCACATAGTTACATACATATATCCGAAATTGCATAACGTTTGTACGCTTTTTTCTTCGAGTTTTCTTAGACGCAAATTTTCTATTGATTTGTGACAATACGAAAAACTCGAATATTTCCACTTACCAAACTACAAACAGCACAGCTTTCAGTAATGTTCCGGAACTTTATTTTTTCAGCTGTATATTTATTATTTGTTAACCCCAGGTGTGTATATGTGTAATTATCAGTTTTCCAACAGTAGCAGGGAATTTAAGATATTTGAATTTTATAATTTTTTCATGGCACAGAACGCAAGATAATTCTTCTGTATGTTTAGTGTTAATTCGCACTTGCACGAATATACGTGTATGTTTATACGAACAAGTGTATATACATGAACATATATACCTTTAATCAATAAAATTTGCACTTTTATTTGTTTTATTTTCACTCGTTTACATTCACATAGCACTTTTAGTTGCACAGAATATGTTAATTGCGTCGAAACATTCAATAGTAATAATGAAGACTCGAAATCCGTTAATCCGAGCAGCTTCCACCGACGTTCGATTAATTTGTGTTTGCAAAATTGTGATGAAAAATCCAAACAATTTGCAATTGCGTTGCCAACTACATGAATAAATGCGACCGAAAGAAATGTGCAGATAATTGACCAAACTAAAGGTAGACCGCGATAGGCGGTGAAAAGAGAAGGCTTAAGGGCACGTCCACATATTGCTAAGTTAAATCACAATTTGGGCATTTTATATGTGTATTATAAAAATTGCTGACAGCGGCAATAGTTAAAATAAACACACATACTTTTCTTACAGAAATTCAATTCTGAGTGTTTATGGCTTCTGGAAAAAGGGACACTGAGTGTACAATTAAAATATTTCGAAACCGTTCCCATTTGACCATGCCTTCCAACTGTCATTTTGACAGATGATTGTCAAAAATTTCCTAAAGGCGAAAAGAAAGTAGGAGCATATTTTATTCATTCAACCAGTTTATATTCATTTAACCTAAAGGTTTGGATGATGTTGCCACAAGCAAGCTCAGGTGTGAAGTGAAAATGGAACAATCTCATGTATGAAATTGCCAACATCAATCCGTTTGACACTTTAACTGGCAATTTGTTTAAGAATGACTATTTTCAATAATCTAAAAAGGAATTTCCGGACACTAGGTTATTTTATTAAATGATTGATATAAATACTGATTTCTCTATATAAGATATTGAAAGTTTTCTTTCAAGATGAATTTTTACTTTACTTTGTTGTCAATTATAATCAGGCAGGTCAGTTAGGTGTCATGTGAACACTGCTTTATATTATATTCGGGTTAGCAACCCTGTACTAATTTGATTAGTTTGGTAGCACTACTGTAGCTGTCATTCTATTATTCGCTTCTATGGTGCTTTAACCAAATTTTATAACTTTTGCGGCTTTAATCGAGAATTGTTTAGAATATTGAAAAAAATATTATAAAATATAAATAAAACGTAGAATATAACAATAATGGCAAACGTTGAATCAATGATAGTTGAAGAAAAGTCTCATATTAAACCTGTGGATCGTGAAAAGGTGCGGTGTTTTTTTCCGACAAACGATATTGTTTACTGTTTTTTGTCGGCATGTGAATATGTAATATATTATATATATGCTTCTTTTTAGACATGTCCACTACTGCTGCGAGTTTTCTGCTCCACCGGCCGACATCATTCCGTATCCGAGTACATGTATGGCAATGTACCAAGCAACGAACTGCAAATTTATACCTGGCAAGATGCTACACTACACGAGCTCACCTCCTTGGTGCGCGATGTTAATCCTGATACACGTAAAAAAGGAACTTACTTCGACTTTGCTATAGTTTTCCCTAACTTTCGAAATAACCACTATTCGATGCGAGAAATTGGTGTTACTTGTACAGGCCAGAAAGGTGCAGATGATACTAAAACTCTAGCCCAGGCTAAATTTTGCATTGGGGACTTTCTAGATATTTCTATAACTCCACCTAACCGCTTGCCGCCCATACGTCGCCAGCGGCCATACTAAGGAGACTCTCCCGATGTTCTCAACGTAACTGTAATGCAGTTTTAATAATTTTTATATTAAGGTACTTTACATAACGTTATTTAAATTACATATGCTTTTGTAAAAAAAAAATGAAGATTGTATGAACACTACCTCGATGTCAAAAGGGTAAACAGTTTACAAATTTGTTGCTAAAAACTAAAATCGTCAGAGAAGTAAATACAATCAAATAAAAAAAATTAAGTTTTTGTTTATATTTAAATTTGTAAATATGGATATCTGCTGTTCGCTTAAATATTACAATTATGTATACATATATTACATTATATGTTATTAATTTCTGTAGATGGAATTGGGTCGTCTAGATTTCTTTTTGCCGATCTGTGTCATGTCGATTTCAACACCATTTGGCAATACAGCTGTATTTTGTTCGTAATTAATGAAAGCATTTTGTTGAAGCTCCTCCTCCGTTTCTCGTGTATTCGGATCGCATTTAATGCCGGTTTCATAGTGATATTCACGTTTGTTGCCATCGGGATCAATGTAGCCGTAGGTTCCCCTGTAAAACAGTTACAAATACAATCATTGTAGGATTTAGAAAAACTGTTGTCAAATCTTACTTTGTAACGCAGTCGGTGCCAATAATTTCTTCCTTAAATGAACCATCGTCATTCTCATAACCCCATGTAATGCTGCCATCTTCATTCTCCTCGCGCCATTTGCGTATCGTTTGAGCAACAGGTCTTTGTCGGCGTTGCTGTGTCTGCTCCCGATCTTCCTGCTGTACTTGGTTATATTCGATCGCTGGTCGTGCAGGTGCTGGACGTGGGCGTGAACGTACTGGTGCTGGAGCCGGTTGTGGAGCGACTTGGGCTTCATATTGTGGCCGTTGTTCACGTACTTGTGGACGTGTGCGTATAACGTTGACACGCTGTGGCTGTTGTTGCGGTTGTGGCACGGGCGAAGGTGCTGGTAAACTCTGTTGTGGGCGCTCCAGACCGAAACGCTGTGTGCCGAAACTGCCAATGCCGTAATCATTGAAAACTGGTCGGTTACTGGGCGGTGCAGAGGTTATGGGTACCGCCGGAGTAGGACGTTCTGGAAAACGAGTTGACGGCAAGACGGTCTGTGGTGATGGTGCTAATATGTGATCGTCCTCTTGCAACAAATGTGGTAAATTGGGGGTATCTTGAATTGTATTCACTTCACCGTTGAGGAAAGCGTTTGCTTGCTGTTGAAATTGAGCTTGTTGTGCCTGAGCCAATTGCTGTTCCCGCAACAGTTGCGGTAGAAAGACATCCGGTTGTTCATCCTCCGCCGATTCAGTTACAGGTTTAAGTTCCTCTTGAATGCGAGGAGTCGGCGATGCAATGAAAGCATTCTGCTGGGCGCGCAGTGCGATTGGACGACGCACACGTACCAATTTATCATTGCGGAACTGAGGTCGGGCAGCACCAACAGACCCACCCACAGGCACGGCTCCTGGTATGCTTAGTCTAGGTGGAAATGGACCAGACTGTGCTTGAACGACTAGCAGAACTGAAAGGGTGGCCAATACGACGGCGACCTGGAATATATAAAAATGGAAATAATTATTACTTATAATTTTCAAAAACTAAACAAAGTGACTAAGTGACTATGTAAGTTTTTCCGTAAAAAAAAAAATTCAACGGTAAGTTTAATGTACTAAATAAAAAAATAATAATAAATTGCCCCAGTGCCTGCTTTATTTGCCAAGAGCACGACGCAGGTTGTTATATGCTTTTGGATTGCAATACGCATGCGCGTATGTACATAGGAAAAAATGTATAATTTTATTGCCGTTACACTCTAATTAAGCTATGCTGCATTTTGGGCTGTGAAAATTGAATTCAATCAGCACTGTTTTGTGCCAGAAATGTTGCAAGTGGCTTTGCAATTTGTCAAATTTGCCAATGCTTGAACTCCATTAATTACAACCGTTCGTTTTACGCCATAAATGTGACGTTGATGCCATTGCTTTGCCTTAAATTCACTAGATTTCTGGTGGAATGGCAGTGAAGTTTCTACTGAGTCGACCGTAAAGCGGTCAACTAACTCATTAAATTAGTGGCCTTTAGGTGAATGAATGTATGTACTATATGTAGCTATAGTTCAAAAATACTTTAGTTTGGTTCGAAATATACCGTTATATGCATACCATGCAAATTAATTTAAGTTTAAATGATTTAATTAACGCACTTAAACGGTGTATTATCTAAATATAAACCTTCGAGTGACTCCAATATAAACATTTAAAAACATACACAATAAATCAGCCTACATAGATATATTAGTCAAAAACCTTATTATTTAAAAATACATTAAAAACAAATACTAACAATTAAACAAAAATAAAATAATTTAAATTCACATAAAATAAAAAAAAAATTATAAAAAAATAAATATTAAATAGTATAAAACATAATAAGCAAATTAAAAATTAATTTAAATACAATAAAATAAAACAAAATAAAATAAAATAAACAAATAACAAAAATGAATTTATATAATTTAATATGAAATTAAACTGCGTAAAATCAAGTAAAAAATAATAAAATATAGTAAATTAAAATGAAATAAAGTAATACAAAATCAAATCAAATAAAATTTTGTAAAGCAAAATTAAAAATACAAAAAAAATAAAATAATATAAAAGTAAATCTAAAAAAAAAGTTTAATGAAAACAAAATTAAAAAAAAAAAATAAATTAAAAACAATTAACTTAAATTTTTAATACTGTAATAAAGCGTAATAAAATAAATAAATTAAATAAATAAAGTAAATTAAATTATGTGAAGTGAAAAATAATCATATATAGTAAAATAAAATGATATAATATAAATTTAAATAGAAGTAACAAAATAAATTGTAAAATATAAAACAAAACAATTAAAAAATAAATAAATGAAATAAAACAAAATAAAATAATATTGAATCAACTAAAAAAATTTAAATACAAAAAAAAAATAATTAAGAACAAATAAATAAAAGACATAATTAAGAAATGTAATATATAAATTAAATTAAAATTAATTTAAAACCAATAAAATAAATAAATTAAAATTAAATAATATTGTATAAAATTAAACAAAATAAAGTAAAATGAAATAAAGTAATATAAAATTAAATAGGATAAAAATAAACAAAATAATATATTAAATAACATTAAATGGCATAATTTAAGTTTAAATAATAACCAGGATAAAATAAAATAATTAAATTAAATGAAATAAAATGAAATAAAAACTAAATTAACATGATATATAAAATTAAATTAAAGAGTGTATAAAAAAATAAATTTGAAAATTAAAATTAAATGACATTAAATAAAATAAAAACTAATATAAAATAATATATGAAATAAAATAAAAAATAAAACCAAATAAATACAATCTAAAAAATAAAAAAATGAAATAAAATCAAATAAAAATTGAAATGAAGTAAAACGCAAAATTAAATTAAAGAGTATGAAATAAAAAAGATAAAAATAAATAAATAAATAAAAATAAATATTGTAAGTAGTAGGATATAAATTAAAATAAAATAATATATAATGAAGCATAAATTAATTAAATATACTAAAAAAAATAAAAAAAATTATTAAATTAAATGAAATAAAAACTTAAATAAGATGATATATAAAATTAAATTAAAGAATGTGTAAAAAAAAATAAATTTGAAAATTAAAATTAAATGACATTAAATAAAATAAAAACTAATATAAAATAATATATGAAATAAAATAAAAAAAACCAAATAAATATAATTTAAAAAATTAAAAAATGAAAAAAAATCAAATAAAAATTGAAATGAAGTAATATGCAAAATTAAATTAAAGAGTATAAAAAAGAAAACGATTAACTATTTCCGTATATTTATAATAAAATTAAATAAATTAAAATAAGAAATAAAAATTAAAGTAAAAAAAATAACATAAAATAATATATTTACAAAAAATAAAATAAAATAATAAAAATTTCAACAAAAAACAAAATAAAATAATGTAAAATAAAATTAAACGAAATAAAAAATAAAATAAATACATTAAATTAAAAAATAATATAAAATTAAACAAAATAATTTAAAATAAAATTAAAGGGTAAGATAAAATAAATGTAAAATATAATAATATATAATAAAATGAAAAATAATAAAACAAACAAAATAAAATAAATTGAATTAATTCAAACAAAAACAAATAACATAAAAACTAAAATAAATTAATAAATAAAATTAGTTAGAAGTTAGTTTAGTGCCTCCAAAGTTAGTGTGTGTCTTTATTTAAATATAAAGTTAAAATATTGTTAAAAAAATGTGATAAGCCTTAGCTTATCTAGGTAAGTATGAATACTTATGTAATAACTGAAAATGCATAAATTACACAACAAGAAGATATATATCATATGTATCTGAAAAATAGTTTATAAGAGGTTGTATGTATATTTTGGAATGAAATGAAATAGGTTCCTAGAAATATCATTAATTTTGTTCAACGCATACATAGAGACGTGGCAAGATGAGTACATCGTCGGAATGTCGAATTAGTCCAACGTTAACTTAGTGCGCAATTGGATTTTCAAAAGTATGACTACTTAGGACATAAAATAATTTTTAGCTGCTACTTTGCTGGTACAAACTAATTTTCGTCAAAATGTTTACATAAATATTTTATTGTACACCTTAACAGTCTCTGTGTGCTCTGTATGTGAAAAGGGGTTAGCAGCCTCGCCGGGCTTTTCAGCCACATTTCTGCTGCAGCTGTGTTGGTTGCTTGCATTTTTTAATTTTAGAAATCCAGTATTTTATTAGTCAGCTTTGATTTCATTATTTTTTTATTTTATTATATATTTTATTTTTATTTTGCAAAAGCCTTGTAAAAATTCAAACTAGTTTTGTTTGAAAGAAAAAAGTATATTTATAATAATATTAAATATTTGAAATATGTGTGTATATATGTACATATGTAACGGCATTCGCACCGCAACAAATCGAGCGGCAATGAGTTTTGTATGAATTAGAGCAGCAACGTATGATTTGTGTGGCGTTGTGTTTGAAAATATGTATCAAATTGTTGTTGTAGCGCGCAATGCAAAATCTAATGAAATTCCACAAGTAATGAAATAATAAATAGTCGTTTGCAACAAAAACAACAACAACAACAACAACAACAACAACAAAAGCCAAATCAAACAAGTTGCTCGTACATACAAACATACAAATATACGTGCCAACGCCATATACACGTATTGGTCCGTTTATTTGCACACGCTACTGTTGAACTCGCCACTTGGGGAAAGGAATTCGCCGATTACATAATTCACATTGGCCGAACGAAGAAAATGCAAACACAATAAATGAAAGAAGGAAAAATGTGAAAATCGCTCCAGTTAAACTGGACAGCTGTTATTGGCGGATTTTTTATTGTTTTTTTTATTGCACATTTTCTTTTTATAACAGTTTCATAGTGTTATGTATGCTTATTTGCGTTTCGCTTTTGTTCATTATCTTGCATCTTGCACTGCGAATGTTTGCTGTTGGGAAAATCACTTCCGCTGGTGCGTCTGTGCGAATTCACTGTCTAGGACACGCACAGACATTGATATTAAATAATTATGCAATTTTATTGATTACTATTATTTCTTTGTTTCTCTTATGGTTTTGAATAATGAATTAGTTTCGCTGTATTTCTCTATATTTTTTACGCTTAGCAGATTAGCAGGTGTCTTATAAGCCTAATTTTCTTCTTCTTTGATGAAGGCACCGGGAATAACCGAAACCGCAATAGCACGACTACCGTTTCTTCCTTAAGCCGATCTTCATCTTCTACTACTTCCGCCAGCGCGTACTGCATCGAATACCAATCCATCTCGATGACTTGACGTAGCCAACGCGGCCTCTATCTCACTAAATTACTGCTCTCTGCATCAGTTACTAGATCAACTCTTTGAGGCCTACAAGAGCCATGCTCTGGTCCTTAAACCGAGCTCTTCATACTCGCGATATTCGCAACGCTCTCTCCACTGTGGTATGGAAATCGATCGATCGATTTCGAGGCTTCTGGTAATGGAAATCGTTTTTGTTCGCTCTGTCATCAAGGTCACCAAACATTTTTGGCCTTTTGTCACACGTCGAAGCGTGCATAGGCAATGGGGGCACTGTAGACATAACGCTCGAATTTCGACCAAACAGAAAGCATGATTTTCTTTTAGCGAATATTTTCTTTGATGTCGATTGTTGTGGTTCATATTACTGGGTTCAGAAACGTTATGGGACTATATTATTTTAACAATCAATTTTATGCCAAGCCAAGACCTCGAAAACTCTGTGCATAAAACTTCTACACGCAGCGGGAATGGAAATACTGATATACATATATGAAATCACTGTGCCGTTAGTTCTATCTTCTCCAAGCTTGACAAAGAAGTAAACGAACAGGTCTGGTAGTGAACGTGGGCAAGACAAAATATAGCCTATCATCAAACACATAGTCGGCGCACTTACGGCTTGGTTCTCATGTCTCTGTGGGCAGTCATAACTTTGTGGTCG